GAAATACACATTTCCAAAATCAAAAACTGAAAAGAACTGAAAATATATTTTGATTGAGGAAGCACTTGTTTTTACTAAACCATCTAACCCATGTATTTTCTTAGATGGTTGTACAAACAATAACGATATTATGTCATATCCATATCATAACAGACGACATATGCTCAAGTGATGAGTTTTCTTAGTTATATTTTGTAGGGTCTTAAACCTACACTGTGAAGTGCCTTGGCAATCATTTTGTTGCCACCATACAAATAAACTAAATTGAAATGAATAGAACATCAAGCCCCACACTTCTGCCTCTATATACACTTTGTCCAAAATACTGGCTCACACCACCAAATCAATGTACAAAGCAGGGCCCACAAGGACATGGATGAGCATGTGTGATGTGAGGGAACTTGACTGACCTGCACTGAGCCCTGACCTTGCTTTGTGGACTGAGGTCATTGATTTGTAGGGTGAACCAATACGTGTGACAATAAAAGTGTAAGTACCTGAAATAAATTTTAACAAACGGGTAAAAGAAGGAAAAAAAATCAAAACTGTTGCAAGATGACGAAAGAGCTTGTCTTCATTGTTGTTCACCTCGTGTAGATTTCCAGAAGCATGGGCCATGGATCGTCTGTGGAGACACAGGTAGCAACACATTGTTCACTTAAATTATACAAGAAATTAACTATAAATGGCAACAACAGTTACCTAATTTGAAGCTTTCCACTCAAATTCAGTAAGCCGCTGGAGGAAAGTTGTGACATGTGAACAACAATGTTAATGTGAACAACCTTTCGCTTCACAGTGGTCCCAGTCTTTCTGCTTGTCCCAACCTTGGAGGTACATTTTGTTCCCTCTTCAGGGTTTATCCTTACAAAAACCTTAAAGCATACCACAATAAATAGTAACATAGAGAAACATTGAGTTGTGATGTGAAAAAAAATGACCTGCTTAGGGATAATTTATTCATCATCTATCACTATTAGCTAACTGTTCAAACATACCTCTGAATTAGTGCCAATGTTGCACACGCTGACTCCTGGTATTCCAGGTTCAATACACAAAATGAACCAAAGAAGACTGACATTGCATCAGCACAGGTGTTCTCTTTGTCCAGCTCAACAATTACACGCCCCTCTGCACTCACCATCCAGCAGGTGGAGGCAATTAAACTTTGTCCTTAAATGTATAGGGGCAACATGTTGTCATTATGCAACACAAAATAATTTCAATACTTCACTTCTTCACACTGTCTAGATAATCATAAAGCAAATAGCTACATACAGTTAATTATTAATGGCCTTATGTAGTCCGTGTTAACATATTATAATTGTACATAATTAGGAATTATTCTGCACATTAAACACACCTAACAAAGAGTCAGCCCAATTAAATTACCGGAGTTTCATCAACTGTATGGTTATTTTGGAGTTTATAGTTTGTGCTGCTGTTAAACTTTACAGTATTGACTTCAGTATTTCTGCTGTTAGTGTAGCTAGACTACCATGTTGATCAGTAATATGTAATATGTAATGTGAAATTTGATATTGTTACTTTGCTGGATTTACCGAGACACATGTCCAACAACCTTGGTTTATAAAGGAAATTACATAAATGTGAGCTAAATAAACAGAGACTGGATACCTGTGTCCACGAAAAGCTCCTGTGCCAAACAGAAATTGTAATATGGTCTAATCAGCTCTATTTCATAAATGACTTCTTACCAAGCATAATCAGCCTTGGAGTGTCTGGCAGGTTGCTCTCTGCTACAAGGGACATACTGGTAGATGTTTCCTGCCAGATAAAGGACCAAGACATTTTATGTAACGGAAAAAAAACAGGACAGCAAGCAACAGCATTAAACCTAGAGCTGTATGAAAGAAGCTTACATCTGCTAAGACAAAGAGGGAGTCTTCATTTTCCTTTTAATACTTCATCATGAGAAGTATGGCTGCTGTGCCAACCTTGTTGTTGGTCAAAACTTCCTCACTTTCTATCTGCTGGATGAGTGTCCTTATACCAAGGTTCAATCTGAGCTTCTGGGTGGAGAAATAGTTACCAATCCTTCTGCCTTTGGTTATGAGGGCCTGACTTAAGCGCTCACTGATATCAATACCTGTGAGTTTGTGAAAGTGATTCGAAAGACCTTTCTGAGTAAACAAGAATGGCCACTGCTCCTGAATTTCAGCTACTGAAAGTGAGGGACAACTGTTAATAAGGTGCCGCTGAGAAATATATGTGAGGCACATGAAGTCATCCACATCAGGTCTCTCCAAAGCTCCCGGTCCTTGTGAATTAAAAATTGTTAACACGATGTCTTTCTTTTCCTCTAAAAAGCTGACGTTTCCCCCTCAGGAAGTTCAACTGGCTGCCAATGAATACAGCCATAGCTATCCACAAGGCATCTAACTTTTTTATGTGAGATTGCATTACTGTTGGGACTGCAGTCTTCCTCATTCCTGGTTCTCTTTGTTTGACGAAGTCTATGTGTTGTATTATCTCGATTAACATGTTCAACTCTAGATTTGATGCTTCTTAGTAGTGAATAATGTCCACAATGATCTTAGCAACATTTCTCAAGATGCACGTTTAAGGTCTGTTGCCATCTGAAAAAAGAGAGATCATTGGAAAAGCTACTTTATATGGCTATTTCAACAAATATGTCCTCACTAAAAGATAAACCCTGCAGCATACCCACATCCAGGAACTTGACAGCTGAGGTAACCAGTGAACTTGTAGAAGTTCTCCTCAGTGGTCTCCCTTCTTGTTCTGTGATTCCTAGGCATATGTGAATGAAAGGCAGAAAATGTTCTGAAAGTGGCAGGACAGTTCTCAGTTACACAAGAAAACCTACATGTTTGTGGCTTTTAACATGCAAACTGAACAATATAAATTTGTGTGCACGGAAGCCACAAAATTTAGAAATACACATAGTTGCAAAAAGTTCAAAGACCAATTACCTTTCCTAAATGACATATGCAATGCAAAAAATAAATAAATAAATAAGAGTATTGTCAATAGGGAGCAATTCCCAGTTTTTACATGATCAAACTTATTCATAAAAGGCTTCAATAAACAGAAAACGTGTGCCAACAAAAAGCACAGTAAAGACAAGTGAGCAGTGCACAAAAATGAAAAGACATTTGATCTTGACGCTTAAACTGGTTTAGCCTGATTAAGTCAGCACCCCGCACCAAACAGGTAGTACAAGCACACCTGAAAACACCGACCAGCTAACAGCTTTAAGCATTTGGGCGCAACCTCGGTAGTTCACCGATTCACCTGTTGCAAACGTCCAAGTTTTTATCAAGTCTCATAAATCCATCGACAACTATTAACTAACTAGTCTTTTGAGTCTTCACAGTCATAACTATTGAGATTTTGTTTTAGCACTTGAATGCAAATAACCTGGCAGGGTAGCTTAAAAGTCAAAACAAACAGTAATAAGAATGCATTTCTGACTTCTTTCGAATAAGTGAAAAAAACACTTACCTTCAGACTGATTAGCTGGTGTCAATCCAACTTTAATGTGTCCCATGTCAGTCAGTTTTAGGGAAAAAGTGTTACGTTTAGATGTTTCATTTACTTTTGCGATACTCCCGCATGGACGAGAAATTTGGAGTCTAGCAGAGTTGTCACAAATAGCATACAATCTTCAGTTATAATCCAATCAACCGTGCATTTAACCTGACTGAACTCCATCCAATTACTTCTGCCTACTTCTAATACGTCACGTTGTACGTCAGGTGAAGGTGTGGTGTTGGCTATCACTCTCCCATTGAGATGTGTAACAAGTGCTACACCCACCTGTCGCAAAAAAAAGGTTTAAAAACGTGACAATCGCTTTAAAAACACAACCCAACGCGCTACACATGAACAAACATTATCATGTATTTCCAGGACATCTCTTTTGAACCAAGTGGTGCTACAAAGGAATTATTTCTTTAGGAGAGTGCATTTAATAGCAGTCTGGCCTGCCACAAAATGCACCGCTAAAAATACAGTTTCTGCTTGTCCCAGAATTTATCAATTTTGAGAGTGAAGTTGTAGGACTGATGCTGGTTAGTGGTCTAGGTTTCATGGATGTGACACCTGAACTTGTGTAAAATGACCACCAGAGCATATTATTAGGTTAGTTCACTGTAGTTAGGCAGAGGTGTCTTAAAAAGTACCACCTTATACAAAACAAACGAAGTTCCAGTATGAGAAAGAATAAGAAGAGAAAAAAGCAACACCCTGCTACATGAAGTCATTTTTAAACATTACTCTAAATGTAACAATTAGTCTTTGTTTCTAGCCATACAAAAAATAAGTATACTTTAAGTTCATATCATGAAGTATACTTCAAGTATATTTCCCAAGTATACGTTACCTAGTACATATACTACTAATGCTTCTTGGGACTATATTGGCCCCCATTTTAGTACATAAAAGTATACTTGAAATTAATTTTTAGATGTACTTTTTGTTCACCATAAATGTACTAGCAGAATGTCCTTTCCAGTCTATAAGAGTATACTTAAATTATACTCTATTCTAGCACAATACTTACGTTACAAGTATACTATTAATTTACTTTTTAGTTTATATTTGAGATACTTCTGATTGAAACAGTAACTAAAAGGCAGTTGAAACTTATTTTTTTCACATGTAATAAAGCCCTTCATTCCTCAAACAGTCAGATAACAGCTCCAACTATCAGAAGGCTTCCTCTGCAGAGAACTACACTCATAGCTCAAGTACCAGAACTATATTGTAAACAGGTAATAAAATGATTGGAGAGTTGAGGTTTATTCGCTATTGACACTTTTCACTCACGGTTTGAACAATTTCATTTTTTACCCCACTTACTCTGTTCAAAAGGTAAAAGACATTACACAAGAATCTTTGACAGATTCTTCTTTTAAAACATCAGTCATTTGTTTCATAGTTTTAATTTCACAGTTAAAGCACTGCAATGCATGCTGGGTATTTATTTGTACTTCAGGTATACTTCAGGTATACTTCAGGTAAACTACATACTACATAGTATACTACTAGCACTAGTATAGTATAGTATAGAATACTACTAGCACTAGTATAGTATAGTATAGAATAAGTGTACTTATACTTTTCTGTATACTTCTAACTGTACTTAAAGTATGCTTAAATGTAATTTGGTCTAAAAAAATCAAGAAAATACATACAAAGTAAGCGAAAGGTATACTTGCTTGTATTCTAGTTTTTAAAGTATACTTATAATATACTTGAATATTCTTTTTTGTAAGAGTGAGACTGGTTGTTTGATACAAGTGGAATGTAATAACATTTCGCATTGTTTGAATAAACAAATACATTTATTATAATATGAGGTTCAATTCAAAAAATTCAATTTTAGTGTAGCTGCAACTTACTCCTTAAGTTAAAAATAATGCTGTATATTGTAGTTTATATACTCTCACAATGAATTGCATTTTATACACTCTGAATGAGGTTTTAAGTAATTACTCTTAGATCTACAATAGAGAAGAACAGAAATCCAGATGGTGTAATAGTATAATCTCAGTAACATCACCAATTGTTACATTTGCTGTATTTTACAGCTGTTTCCATGAGTACAGTGAGTACCATAAAAATAATGTAATCTCATGGAATTTTCTCACAATGACATGCAAATTACAGTACTAAACTGCTAACATCCTTTAGAGTTTTTACTGTTGATTTTGCAGTACTACGCTATGGAAATTACTGCAAAGGCTAACAGTGTACACTCAGTTCTTCCAAACCTTTCATTCATTTGTCAAAATGACTTATTTTTTCATAAATACTCAAAAAAAAAGACTAAATTAATTGTGTTAATTGTGTAAACCAAATTGATAACAATGTTTAAATATTTTATCAAGATACGAGAGGTATCTAGAAGTATAATCCTCATCTCTTCAAGTTTTCTGCATCTTGTCACTTACTTTAAATGTCTACTGTAGCATTTAAAGCACACTGTAAATGTAAAAGAAAATAACAATTACACAGAAAAGCACAAAACTAAAGTATGTAAATAGACTGTGAGTACAAAAAAAGATGTACTCTACAGACAATAACGGTGATAATCACTAGGCACTAGGAAGAAGAAGCGGGAGGGGGGGGCTGCTTCTACCCTCGGCACTCTTCTGTGTGTTCCTCTTCCTACTTCTCTGACAGACCGCTGTCCCCTCCACAAATTGTTTTAATTCCCTTCCGCTTTATCTTTTACAGTACCCATTTACATCGTTGATAATTAGTGTGTCTATTCCGCATATGACGACAGTGAAATCATGTTAGCAAAAAGACCACAAAAACAAACGCAACTAAAACTTGTTCCAACTTCTAAACTGTAGGCACTCGTTTTCCAAAATGCCCATTTTTTTCTCAAACGTACTTTTTTTTTTCAAACGTACGTTTGAAAAAAAAAATGCTTGGAATGAAATGACACCAATATTAATGAGCAATGAGAAATGCTCTTCCTGTTGTGAACAAGTTAAAAAAAATGTTCTGAAAAACTTTTCATTGCAAACTGGAGCTATTGTTTGATTTGGAGTTAAAGCATCTGTGAGGAAAGAGGATAAAAAGTAAAACGCTGGCTGCTACTCACCTCAAGCTGTTCCACATGCACATCTAAGAAAAGCCAAAGCCCTGGTAAAAACGAAAAAAACAACAGACGTTCCGACTTTCATTTTCATATCCTGGCACGCCCCGAACTGTAGTGAAGGGGCGGGGCTTACACGAAACGTAATGAGCGAGTATTGACAGTATTACTGGTATGAACAGTTGCTTATAACTTTTTTGAGAGACAATATTTTGCTGAAAAAATGCTTTCTTTCGCCAAAAACAAAACAAAAACGCATGCACGTCTTTACACGTAAAGAAATCATGACCTTTAAGGCTTCAAACCACCGCTATAAAAAGTGTTTAAGTATTAGAGTATTAAAGTTTCCATCATTACAAACTTTCCTTTTCTGGCATTGAATACAAACGGGAACTGCTTAAGCTTTCAGTTCCTATTTTAAGTGTTGCATATCTCAGTTTCCTGCAAAGAATTAGTCCATAGATACCCTCTTTTTTCCCAGTGTGAAAACGCAGAGTATCAGAGATTCCAAATATGGCAAGAATCGATCAGTCCTCTGACCGAGTATTTGAGGTGCGTTTATGGTGCTTTCTATACGATATGAAGAAGTAAGTAAAGTTTAGTGAGATACAATACTGTGCAAAAGCCTTTATATTTCTTTATATTTTGCTTCCAAGGAGCCAGACTTGAAGAGCTTTCAAACTTCTTAGGACATTAGGTCTTCTCCCTGACCATTTACATAGACTTTTTCTACAATTCATTCAAGAATAACAAATACATGTTGCTATTGTGCAACATTTTTACACAAGTTAAAATGTTGTGTAAAAATCCAGGTCATTTTAGTAAGTTTAAATAATTAAATGGTATTAAGTATCTACTATTATAATAAAGTTAACTATTCGTAAAGATTTGGAATTACTATTGTTAAAAAAAAAAGTTCTTAGTTCAGAAATTTAATCATGATGTTATTTATATAAATTAACAGTTAATTAATTAGCAATTAAAATAGATGCATCCATCTGCAAAACACCCAGTAAAACAAGCAACTCACAATGGAGACATAATCAGAATCATAATATCTGAAGCTGTGCTGAAGCTAAATCTTGAGCTCATCAGTTGAATGATTACATGATTTATGACCTTCTTCTAATAAGCTCTCTCTGCCTCTCTTTTTCATCTTCTCTGCAGACAAAGCCAAAGCCAGATGAAGATGTTTTATTCATGGATATTATTAATGTCAAACACGGTCCTGTAAAGGTGCAAAACAAACCATTGTTCTGCATCTGGAGCAATGGTGCTTGTGAACATGACACTACGGCTCTATGTCTGGTTTGCATATTCAGTCGTGTACACTCCCCCGTTTTTTTAAGAGAGCTGAGGAGTATTCACTCGCATCCCATGCTGCCTTGCTGTTTCAGCCGGCGTCGATAGGCGCGGTCTGTTCCTGCTCTCTGCATTTCCATCCCTCACTCCCCTCCCTCTTCCCCACCCACCTTCATTTACACTCATCTCAGTGAGGACCTCTCTCACCAGGGGCTGCTCTCTACGCTACATCTCTCCTCCTATCTGCATTTTCCTTCATTCTCTACCCTTGTAGAGACTGTCTATAACATCCTCCTTCTTTTGCATCCCTCTTTGCCCTTGTCTCATGCTGATGACATATGAGGCTGGGGATTAATGTAAAGGGCAGCCCTCTGCGCTGGATCCGAGAGCTGAGGTGAACGTCTGTTTTTCCATCACAGTGGAAGAGTGCTATAGACTGGGGAGCATCACTTATGCCAGCAGGTTACATCCCCTGGAGCAGCAACGGGACAGCCTCGGGAGAAAACAGCTGCACTGAAGCCCCACGTGCATGGCTGGATGTGCTTTGTGTTGATAGATAGTACACTGAAAAAGGTAGGAAGAGGGCAGCAACAGAGGGGAGAGTAGTATTTAGCAAGACGCAAACCTCCAAATAACAGTTTTGGGGGAGGTGGGTGTGGGATTCACGGGGAGTGTTTTAAATGTGAAAGGAGGAGTTGGGGTCTGCTCTACTCTGCTCTCAGATCAAAGAACTGGAAGAAGGAGGATCGCACAGACTGAAGAGTCAGAGCGAGAGAGAGAGAGACTGGAGAGACTCCAGTCTCCAGAGACCACAGAATTGCAATTGAAGAGACTGTCTGCAGCACAGGGGGGGTGGTTATAAGGACACAAAGTGAGGGAACCAATCAATGGTCTTCAGATCTTCATTTGGACAGTGTGAGCTTACTTTGTGAGTGAAGACTCAGATTAAGAGGACATCGAAGCAGGTCCCTTTAGGAAATTGGAGGCATTCCCTTTGCGCAGAAATCTATAGGAGGATCCAAATATGGCTGTCCAACTCATCCCTGAATCAGCCGTGTGTTTGCTCATGGTGAGTCTCAGAGGAGTACGGGACTGACACCACTGTCTATTCTTTATTCCTTTTGCTGTTTTCTCTTTCTTTCACTGGCATGCTTTCTCTCACCATTCTCCTCATGGCGCGTGCCCATGCTGCCACTGCCATCTCATTAAAAAGGATGCTGCTTGTTTGCCCCTCCCCTTTACTACCATCTACGGTCCTTTTATCATTTGATAACTTCCTTGTGAGAGGCATAGCTCACTAAAGAAATGTGTGTATTTTCCACCCAAGTGAGAAAACTCTCGCTTTTGTCCTCCACGTGTTCCACTACTGCACTGGTCAAGTGTGGGAGAAATGGCTCACAGACTGCAGATGTGAGGGTGCGGTGTTGATCGTGGTGCCTCTGGATGTTGGAGACAGTTTAATTTAGTATATATATGTGTCCTATGATTAAGCCCGCGAGCAACGACCTAAGGTTTATGCCTTCAGTGCAAGCAGATAAGTTGCTAAACTGAAGTGTTTTCTGTTTTGTGCAAGGTCAGCATGTGAACACTGCCAGTATACAACACTGAATCAAATCAATTTCATATTATAGAGCGAACAGTTTTGCTGCAACCCATGGGATTTCTAGGATCTTGTTAGTGTTGAACCCAGTCTTTTATTGGCATGAAACAGACTGGCTTGGTTCACGTGGTTCAGATCTGGCCATAGAGAGTGATGCAATAGAAATACATAACATAAGCTAAAAATCCAGTAAACTCCATTTGGTCCTCTGTCCAGCCTAACTGTGAAACAATGGCGCTGCAGCTTTGCTGCATGTGTTCATCCTATGATAACCACCAATGAATGACCGTAAAATCTGTATGGAGGGTGACTTCTTATAAAAGAGTCTGTTCTGCTCATTTTCATTCTATAGTGTTGGCATTCTGCAGTCCCAGGGGAGTCATGCATCGCTGCACTACCTGCTATCTCCACCTGTCATGGCTGTCTGTTACTATGGCAATAGGCCATGCAGTCCACTTGAAAGAGAGGTGGTCGTAAAAAAGGACGAGGGCAGGAGGAAAGTGCAAAATATGATGGACAGGCAAAGGATGGAAGGGGCAAAGCATGAGGATTTGAAAAGAAGATGAAACAAATTAGCCATGGAAAAGTCAAAGTAAGCTTTTAGCATCATCATGGCGATATACTGCAAGAAATATAATTACCCTGATGATGGTTTCCATCAAAATGGGATTTGGGGCTTTGGGGACATAACTTCAGGCATCATCAGATCTGAAGCAGAGAATTTGTGTCCTTTGACTCCACATTTTCTGCTATTTTGCTGCAAGTATGCATTAGCATAGAAGGTGTTCCATTATAAGTGTCCCTGCTGTCATAAATGACAGGCACAAAAAGCTTTGCTGCCATCCCAGTTTCACAGCCTCTCTCACATTTGTCCTTGATGTCCTACATCCACAGTCTTCTCACCTTTTAGATCTACTCCCCACAAGCTTACCAAAATGAGCTCACCTTGACATGTATACCACTTGCTCTTTTGGCATTTTCTTTGAAAAATATTTATTGATGACTGTAAAGCTGATCAAACATATGGACTAACGTGTCTTAACTCTGATATTTGAAATTTTCCCATATCTCATTTCAGAGCTCAGTTCACAAAATCTGTGACATTTGCATTCATGCTGTGAACCCATCTTATTTATTAATGGGAGTTTAGCAGCTATGTGTGTGTCTGCATGCTCTTGTGTGGCGTGGGCCGAAATATTAATATTGATCATGCTTCCTGGCTCTCTGTGTATTAATATTTTAGGTGGTTAGGTGATTATCTGCTGCAGTAATTACAGGCAATGCTGTAAATAATTTCCACAGACAGCACAACAAACAAGTCACATCAGAAACAGCAAAGTCAGACAGATCCAGTAGATTGACTGAATTAAATCTATAAAATGTTATGGCTAGGAGGAGAAATGTGCAGGGCTTCATCTTCTTGGTTTGTTTTATAAATATAGGACTAAACTCTGGGATATCTTTTACTAGATGCATGTATATGCATAGACAGTGCTTGCTTCTAATGAGCATTAGTTTTAGAGTAGAATGAAAAGAATCAATGGCATGACTGATTCCAGCTAAGATATCCAGAGAAATGCTGCCAACTAGTACTGGAATAGGTCATAAACTACATTGTATGTAAAGGCATTAACAGGAATTTGTCTGTGAGCTTCATTCCTAGCCTAAATGGGAAATACTGGTTCACAAAGCTAGTTACTATTTTGAGCCCACACGTGCACATGTTCTTACGCTTCCCAGTAATGTGTGTATCCACAACTGCACGCTTGTTTTTGTACTTTAAATCAGAATTGGCACAAGCACTAGTCTTTGCCACAACACATACACTGAGCTGATTAGCTCTGCTCTGGCTCTCTCGCTCAGAGAACCCCCCAGCCCCTCCAGGCTCTCGGAGATGATGGAGAGGTGCAGAATTAAATCCGAAATAGAATCAAACAACTATAGTGTTGCCTTTTAATTAGCGTAGGAGAAAAATAAGAGCAATAATTAAAGACTAAATCCACCCTCATCGTAAGCGCCAGTCTCAAGGTTTAGGTTTTGATGCAGCTAATCCCGGATTTATCATAAATTCCATGTGATAAAGTGTCACATGGAATTTTACTTCATGAAGAAAATGAGGCTGACAAAAATGAGAGCACAGTTTGCCCCAGTGTGTTCTGCTCTGAT